CTCTCTCTCTCTCTCTCTCTCTCTCTCTCTCTCTCTCTCTCTCTCTCGCGCGCGCGCGCGCGCGCGTTGTAGAGGGACACAATACCTTTATTTTATTTATGTATGTATGGTGCTGAAGATGAGTCCCGGGCCTCACACATGCTAGGCAAGCACTATACCACTGAACCTCAACCCCAGCCCATAGAAATCTTGATAGCATCTGTCAGAGAATTCAAAGGCATTAAATTTAGAGTTCTAAAAGTATGACTTTCTATCCAATCAACTGACCATCCTCAAAGATTCCTGGATCATTGAGCACATTACTACTTTGATGATTTCTTTGAGGTAACTGCTTCTCTAATGCTACCCCAGCACTTACATGTCTGTAGAGTGATCATTCTCACTGTATGCTGGTGGCTTATTTGTGTAACTGTCCTTTCGAGGATCTTGCAAGGTAGGACCTTGCCTTTCAGTGTTTGTTTCCCCATCTCTTAGTGGAGGTGCCTGACTCACATACTTGTTCACTGAATTAACGAATTCAAGTTATTCCACTTTCTGAGGAATGGGAGTACTGTGATCAGGACTTTAGTTTCTGGCAGGCACCTGACTTGAATTGTGTGAGTATTTCTATTAAGAAGGGAACGTATGCTTGCCCCAAGAGGAGCTGAAGATTTGGGCATTCTGCTTTAACTAGTTGACTTATTATTCAAAAGCCTTTCGATGGAGCTTTGATAAAAGAGTTTGTTACTGAGAAGAGGTTACTAGTTTTTTCTTTCTCTAAAAGGGACATTTGGGACTGGTTAGGGCTAGGGCCTGGCCTCTCACCTCTATATCTCCTGGAAAAAACTCACAATTACCTTGTCCACAAAGACTGAATTAACTGTTTCTCTCTCCCTGTAGAGCTAAGGGGCCAATCTGCTATGGTGTGATTCTTAGCTACTTTCAATTTTTAGGGGGCTCTGAAACTTACAATGGTGCCTGTTAGGTGGGAGTCTACAGTTAGGTGTCTTTACCTGTTGACTCTGAAAAGCAGATCATCTGCCAGATGACATTTCCTGTATAATTTTCTGGTTTAGAGTCTAAATGAAAACAAAACAAAACAGAAAAACAAGGAGTCAACGATGGAAGAAATCTTGGCAGTTATAGGGTCAGATGATTTTCTTTCCTCTTATTTAACCTTATAAAAATTGTGAAATAATCACACAGAAAAGTATATAAGACGGATGTACAATAATATGATTAATTATAAATGCCTGTTTTTCAGACCCAAGCCAAGGAATAGAATTCTGACAACATTCCAGAAACTTCCCGGGTTTCCTTCAGGGTGACAGCACTTTCCTGTGCCCCTGGAGGGAACCACCGTCCTGTTTCATGTAATCATCTTTTTATCTTGATAGTTTGACCATCACGTGGACACTCGTAGTATTATTTTCATATAAATAGGATCATATTACATTATAATTTTTTATCAACATATTTGTAAGATTTGTTCATGTTGATGGTAGATGTTATTTGCTTACTTTCGTTTCTCTTTAGCCTCCCAATATGGTAGTATACCACAGGTGATGTATGCATCATGTTGCCTGTGCATAATTGGGTTCTCTTTGGTTGTTACGACCATGCTGCATAGACACTACAGCATGCTGCGTAGACATTATTCTCATGCTGGAGTATTTATGCATGGGTTTCTCCAGCTAGTATATATACCCAGCAGTGGGACTTCTGGGAGATAGGTATGTAATGTCCAACCACTTCCCCAAGGGTCACTCTGACCAACATTTTGGTTTGGGCAGAGTTTTTAATCTTTTGACAATCTGGTGTGTGTGTGTGTGTATATACTACTTTGGTTTCAATTTTCATTTCCTTGATTCTTAATGACATTGAGTGCTTTTCAACTTGCGTATTGTTCATTTGTATTTATTATTTGTAAAATGTCTGTTTATGAATGTCCTTTGGACCATTTGATTTTTTTTCCTGTCTTTTAAAATTTGATTTGTAGATGTTCTTTACTTATTCTGGTGTTATATGTCTTTCAAATAATGTCTATCTTTTTGTAGCTTAGCCTTGCAATATGGTGTCTTATGATAAACTGAAACTCTCAGTTTTAAGGGAGTCAAATTTATCAGTGTTTTTTTCAAGATGGATATTGCCTTTTCCATCTTGTTAAAAAATTATTCTGTACCTCAAGGTCATGAAGATCTACTTAATTTTCTTCTAAAAGCTTTGTAAGGTTGTTCTCTACCTTTAGCTCTATAAACCTTACTGGAGGTTATTTTATATATGGCATGAGCTAGATAACCATTGACTTGTTTTCTCAATGGGTTCCCAACTGCCCCATAATTTATTAAAAGACCTTCTGCAGTGCCATCATTCATAAGTCAAATCCAAATACAGATGTGTCTGTTTCTGCATTCTACTGTCTGTTTTATTTGTCATGCTTGGAATACTGCTACACTGATTTGGTTACTGTAGCTTTAAAATAAGGGTGGTATCTTAGTTATTATAGCTTTAAAATCAAGTGTGGCATCTGATAGAACTAATTCTTTCACCTTGTTTTCTTTTTTGAGAATGTCTTTGCTTTGCTTTTCCCCTTGTATTTTCATATAAATTTTAGAATTATCTTGTCACACTCCACAAAACAACCCATTGAATTTTGTCTGGAATTACAAAGACTTACAGGAAAATGTGAGAACCAACATTCTGTAATACTGTTTCCCCATCCATGAACATGGAATGTCTTTCTTTTCTTCAGTGATTCTCAATTAGGATTTCTAACTTTCCCCATTGTAGTCTCATACAATTTATGCTAAATTTATTCTTTAAAAAATGATGTTTTTGATGCTGTTGTAAATGGTATGCTTTCAAAAATTTTATTTTTCTAGTTTTTAATTGATGAGTTATAATAATACAATTGATTTTTATGATTTTTTTTTGCATCTAACAAGTATACCTAACCCTTTTATTGCTTCTAATAATTTAAATGTAAATTCTTTTGAGTTTTACTATCCTTGTATTAATTTTGAAATTTTAAATGTACTTTCTTTTGAGTTTTCTATGTTCAAAATAATATAATCATGAATAATGTCAGTTTTGTTTCCTTCTACCTGATTCTTACTTTTTTCTTCCTCTCTCTTTTTTTCCCTTATTATGCTAGCCAGGGCCTCCAGTTAAATGATTAATGGAAATGAAAGAAAACTGGCATCTTTGTCTTTTTCCTGACTTCAAACAGAAAAATTTTGACACTTCACCTCTGAGCATGACATTTTTTATGTAAGTTGGTTTGTTTTTGTTTTTGTTTAGCTATCTTTTCTTATACTAAGGAAGCTGCCAAAAAAGAAAAAGAAAGAAAAGAAAGAGAAAAGGCTATTCTATTTTATATGTATTTCTCCAATAAGGATTTATATGCACAATTGCATGATATGCATATAATTTTCTGAACATATATTGAATTTTATTGAACAATGCTTCTTTTTTTCTGTGTGAGATAATCATATGATTCTTTAATTTACAAATAGAGTGAATTACATTTACTTATTTTCTAATATTAAGCAAATCTTGAATTCTTGGAATGCAGCCAAGTTGGTGAGTATATGTTATCCTTTCTATCTGTGCTTTAGTTAACCCCTGCAGTTTTTCTTGAAATTGTCAGATGTGAAGTTTGCCTGTAATTTTCCTTTTTCATACAGAATTGTTTTGCTGGCCTTATCACATGAGTTGAAAAGTGTCTCCTTTTCCCCTCCCTCTCCCCCCAAACAGAGCATAAGACTTAAATATAATATTGAAGTATTCTTTTTTCTGATATATTTGCACCTAGATTTTTTTTTTTTTTGCTGATGAGAGAAGAGTTGTTTTAGTACCGACTCAATTTCTTCAATGTTTATGAGACATACAGATTAAAATTTTTCTATTACATCAAAAATTGATTTATTGGCATAAAGTTACTTATAATATTATGTAAGTATGTTTATGATGTATACAAGATCTTTAAAGAGATCTTGTAATTCTATTCTTGACATCTAGATCTTCTCTGTTTTAAAATTGTCAGTTTATCAGTGGTATCTTGATTTCCCTAGTCTTTTCAAAGGAACAATCATCAGTTTTGTTGATACTATTGAATATTTTTTTCACATATTACTTTTTTTATTCCCATCTTTACTACTTCCATTATTTATATTTTTTAGGGTTTTTTGATTTTTGAAAATTTTTCTTAACTGCTCATTTTATTGATTTTGAGTCTTTCTACTTTTTAAATGCCATATTTCAGATATTTTAAGATGAACATGTTGTACTTTCACATTTCTGAATCTAAGATGCATCTTAAGTATTGATAGCATGTCAGTTAAATTGTAAGCATTTTTTTTCTCTCAGATGTATATAAAATACTTGCACATCTTACAGCAAATACTATCACAAGTTCAGTAGAAGGAAATATGTCCATTTGAGGCTATAAATCTCCCTCCAAGTACTGCTCTAGCATGATTCCCACGGCTTGTTTTGTTTGCTTCTGTTTCTTTTGCTTTTTCTTCTACTTGACAAATTCTCTTGTCATCCAAGTATAATCTACTACTAAATTTGTTCATTTAATTTTTTTTCTCAAGACTCCAGCTTTGAAAATTTTGTTTTTCAAATTGAATATTTCACTTATTTAAATTTTTTCTATTCTCTAAAGTATTTTTAAATTTCCTTCTATCAGTATAATGACATAGTAAATAGTTGCTTCCTCATCTGTGTTTGACAATTCCAGTAGCTACACTCTTTCAATTTGTTTCTATTCTCTAGGAAAGGAATCAAGATATAGACTATATCCAAGTCCCTAAAGACCCCACGCCCTTCCTGATCACTGCCACCATCCCCCTTCCAATAGCCACTATTTTTTTTTCTAATATTATAAATCAGTCTGGGACATTGTGGAGCAGAAATTACTTGTAGTAATAATTTGAGGATTAAGATTGGCATGAGAAAGACTTCTTTCAGAGGAGGTATTATTGTTTTTTCAGGCCTATGGAGGAAGACCAGTGCAGGACAACCTAAATTCAAGTTCAAATTTGATATTCTCTAGACCATTCAAAGGGCACCATCCATGTTGTAAATCTGTAGGAAGGTGGGTTGAAGTCCAGAGACCCAGTTGAAGAGGTGGGTGATTTACAGAGAATCCACTATGGCATGCTCTTCACCTTGACTAACCTCACCCACAGGTCTGAATAACTCTAGTTTAGACTTATAGCTTTTACTCTATACTGATAAATGCCCTTAGGACAAATCAGCTTTGAATGTTGGGCTTATCTTTCTGGATTTTGTATTTTCATAGATGTTGTTCCAAGAATTCCTAACTTTTTTTTTTTTTAAATAGAATGTTTTGTTTTAATGTTCTATGCAGTTTTAAAAACTTTTCTCAAGAGGTGGGTTTTTTTTTCTGTTATAATTTAAAACTTTTTTTCAGTTGTATAAAAATTGTTTTCAAGTAAAATCTTGGATTTGTGATATAAAATCTGTAGAATATGAGAGTCATGCTTAAAATTACTTAGGTGTCCTTGTTGCATGAATCTCCCTGGAGCATTTTCCTTCTGGGGTCAAGAACTACTTCTTGTTTTTAGTTCCGGAGTGATCTATTTTGTTTGTTCCCATTATATCCCCACTTTCTACCTTAATAACCTTCGTCAGGGCTCCTCAAAGAAGCTGATATATCAAAAGATGAAAAAATAAATTGTCAAAGGGAATTTTATGGTTTATTTAAATTATTTAACAAATTTATACTGGTGAGAATGTGGAGTATTGATTCCCCTCTTATAAATAAGGCCTGAGGCTAATGCTCCCCACACCCCTAGATAGGACCCTCTTAACTTATGGACACTGAAGATATTCTCTTGCTGGTCTGATCCATGCTCATTTCTTATTGCTATCAGAAAGATGGATTTATCTACCTTGCCAGTCAGGTGACTCTTGCTTCCCTCTCTCTTCTTTTCTTCCTTAGTAAATTATCAATGTTCACCATGAGTTTCACAAACTAGGTATGAACTCCTAATGTATCCTAGTTTCCTTATGAAATAAGAACTTTTTAGGGCTGGGGTTGTGGCTCAGTGATAGAGCACTTGCCTAGCAAGTGTGAGGCACTGGGTTCAACTCTCAGCACTACATAAAAATAAATAAAATAAAGGTATGTGTACATCTACAACTAAAAAAATAAAAAATAAAAAAAAGAACTTTTAAAGGTGATGAATTGCTCAGGTGCAGGTCCTTTCCTCAGTGGTGTGGGCAGGTGGAGAGAGGCGGGAGGAATGCATATGCACCTCTACTCTGTGCAGTCAATGGCTAGGATCTGTTTTCAATTGTGTGAAATCGGAGGTGGACCTATTCTTGCTTCATGAACTGGGCATGCCCCATGCTTTTTTGCTTCCCAAGTTGAGTGGAATTTGGTGGATGTGTAGAAATCTTCCACAAATTGTTGGAATGCACAGCGCCCCCCACCCATTCTAAGCTATTTAGGGAGAAGAAAACCTTGGTTTATGTCTCCCTGAAGTGAAGAAGATGAAAAATGAAGCAAACAAAACCAAACGTCTTAAATTCATTCACTAAAATGATGGCTTAGAATTTCAAAACAGAATGAATCTTTGCATGAATTTGAGAACTTGGTCATGGAATCGAGGCCGGTGCAACTTCAACTGACTTAAATATATATGGAACAGCACTTCTCAATCTGAATTTTTTTTTTATACGAGTACCCCACTAGCAAAGAAATTATCAGTTTTACTTTCAAAGTTTGTATTGTGAAAGCAATGTATTCATTTTCTAGATATAACATTGTATTATAATATCCAATATGCTTTGGATATTATAATATTGGATATTTTTAATATCCAATATGCTATCCTCTAATTTCATCTCTTATCATCCCTCATGCTATGGTTTGGATCATTGAACAACAGATTCAAACTGGCTATCTCATGATACTATGAATCTATACCCAATTCCAGCCAAGAGTCTCAGGGTCTTTTCCAGAGAAAGTCCAAAAACAATCTTGGCAATGTTAAATAAAGTAGGGGAAGCTTTGGTAATTGCTTAATGACATGCAGTAGCTCAAATTTCTTTATCAGACACTTTAAATTGTCACATTGACATGGATTATCTTGTTTGGGACCTATGTGATTCAAAATGGTTGTTAATATAGTTATGAGTTGTTGACTGAAAAAAATCTTTCATTTATATTTCCACATGCCTTGGAAAGAAACTTTTAATTTTTATATCCTGTCTAGAGACCAAAGAAATAGATCACTGGCAAAAAAGGTAATAGGGTCCAAAGAGGCAAATTTTTCCCAAAGTCAAAGAATAAGCCAAGCCCAGAATTTTTTTGTAACATTCTTCAGTGCCTAATATAGTGCTGGGTGTGTAAGTGGTAATTAGAAAATATGTTTAGACCAACAATTGAAGTTTCCTGTGTCGACGTGGAGACGTGAGGGTTAGAAGTCTGTTCTGGGGGAAAGATATTGGGTGAACTAGCAGAGGGGTAGAGGAAAAACCCAATAAGACCAGTTTTAGTTTCAATTACCAATTCTGCTTCTTATTATATGACCTTGGAAAAATTACTTAAACTTTCTGTGCTTCAGTGTGTCATTATAGAAGAAGAATTATAATACCTTTATTATTTATAAGGATTTAGAAATACTGTATGTAAAGTTCTTGGTATATACTCATCTCTCATTAAGTGTAGCTGCTATTATTGGTAATAAAAGAACAATGTTAACTTCAGAAAGTTGTATTATGAAAAAGCTTCCCTGAGCTAAGGCCCTTCTGAATCCCTGCAGCAGGGTCTGGCTTTACCCCAAGTTTCTGAAACATGTAGCCCTGGCGTGAACTCTGCACTGAGTCCCTTTTCTGTAATCCCTGTAGACCCCAAGTTCTGCTGACCCCAAAGTGCCTTAGTCATAGGGGAATTAATGGTACATTTGGCCAAAAACTCCAAATGGAGATCTTCCAAGGACAGAACATTCTGGAACCCATAGTGTTTTATATCTTCTTCTCACAGTGGCTGAGGTCAAAGCAAATCTAGAAGGAAAGTTGTCTAAGGAGACCCAGACCCAGAGAAAGTTAGGAGCTGTTTTTTTTTTTTAATTTGTATGTCGTAAATAATCATTTTGGCATCAAATTTAGATTCCTCTTGGCAAACTGGGTGATCTTATTAGCAGTAAAATTAATTTGAAAAATAAAACAAATTTAGCAAGTTAAAAGGTAATGCTTTTCAAAATTCACTTTAATGATTTTAATATTTTTATGTT